ATACTTTGTATTCTTACTGCTTTTTTCTTGAAAAGCAAAGCATCAGAATACAACTATATAAAAGACCACAATATTGCAATTTGCAAAAAGTCATGAATTGATATCTTTGGCCACTACATGCCCTGTACGGAACAGGTACAGGGCACTCAGAAAGCAAGCCTGGCTCCAAATGACATAGTTTGCAGCAAACAAGGAATGTGTGAAAGATTTTAGATGTTACAATATGAATATTATTTTATATTATGATAAATATAATAGCAACAACAAAGGAATTGAGGTAAGCATTTATCTCATGAAATCTTACAGAAGCTCATAGAATGCTTATAAAGTAGATTATTATTCTCCATTTTAGAGATGACACGTGAAATTCAGAGAGGTTCTTGAACTTGCTTAAGCTCAAGGTATAATAAGCAAAAGAGCAGAGATCTGAGTACAGGTCTGTCAGTCTCCGAGGCCTGTGCTCTTCTGCCCAGGGCGGGGAAGGGGGGTTACTAGGGCCCTTATTATAGCACATGTTTTTTTGCTTTACCCTATTATTATAAATAATAATTCTTGGGAACTAGTTGATAAGTGTGTGGCGGGCGGGGAGGTGTGAACAGGAGGGCAGGACACAGGAAGGCAGTGTAAGCTCTTTTACTCAACTGCTTGACATCACAGTGAAAACCATCAGCGGGCTTTGCATCAGCACATCGGCAAAGCACCAGCAACCACCTTATGTTGTGTTTTAATATCACGTCAGTGACCACTGACAAATTTGTTATCTGTTAGTGCCTAGAGTATCAGTGCAAGCCAGACAAGTCTCAGATTCTTCCAATGGCACCTTCTGTGACCCTACCAGGCTGTGTGTGTCCACCAAGAGTTCACAACAACACTGTGGCCTGTTCCTTGCCAGATCAGCCTAATTGTGCCCTGAAGTATAAATGAAGCCCTTCCTTTTTTCTGAAGAAAATTACCACATCGTCTTTCTATAACTAAGGGCATATTCAAAACCAGCTGGCCACTCAGCTGCTTAGGGGAGCCCACATGATTTTAAGTGGGACTAACTCAAGCATGCTTTCTAACAGTGATAGAATCTGTCCACCGTTAACTGAACTTTATCAGCTTTGCCATGTCTATACCACCAATTTTCAAAAAAATTACAACTCTCTAAATTGTATACTTAACTTTAACAGTAGACCACACTTTTTTTTTAAATCTTTTGAGGAATTAAATCGTTTCGTTGTCACTGTTGATCACAGTTCACAGTACAGAAATAAAGTGGACTAAGTAAGCAAAAGACAGAGAGAGATGGCTATTTGAGTTTTCTGGTCTTTTCTAAGGAGCGTAATTAAAGCGTTTTCTCCATTACGATGTCCACAGTAAAATGCACAGCAAATCTAAAAAGGTAATACGTATTCTTTTTCAAGCCCTTTCTAGTTTTCCACTAAGGACAGTTAGCAATCCTGAATCAGCCTGATGCACAGACCGGCTTCATACTGTGTGCTGTGCATCTGCTAAACTTGGATCCCAGGAAAATTCAGATTATGTTATTAAGGCTTAATCACATAACTCATCTTAAATCAAGTGCTTTCCAAGTCTCTTGTATGTAATTCACAGTAAGAAATACATTTTATCTCATGACAGAACATGCGCGCACACACAGAAACTTCTGTGTGTGTAAGTATGTGTAAATCCTGAAACAAAGACTAACTGGCTGAGATAATAACTAAGAGTGAGTGTGCTGCTGCCTCTAAATTAAATGGCCACCTAAACAAATTCTTGCCTGCCTTCAGATCTCTATCACCTATGAATTTAAGCAATGCTAGGCTTAAAAAAAAAATACTACAAACAATCCCACCTTGTTCTCTGTTTCTGAATGAAATTTGGAATATCAGCTAATGTAAGTAGGACCTCAGTCAGCAGACATCTTACACTAAGGCCTCAGTGTAGCTCACTGCTGATTTTCAAAGTCAGCTTTGGAAAGGGACAAGTAGTTTCTTTCCTACTTGCTTTTTATCTTCTTAAAATAGTCATCGGGTTATTTATTAGAATTATTAAAACTGGTAGTAGCCCATGGACATCTACTCTTAAAGTGCCCACATATCCTCGGTGCAGCACAGGCCTCGGTGCCCCCTGGGGTAAAGGATCCGGAGACAAACGCAGAGCAGCTGACCTGCTCCGAGGCACAGAGCGAGTCAGCAGCAAGCCAACCAAAACCTCTGTGTGGGACCCCGCCTGCGGGGGGGGCAGCAGACCTCAGTCTTCCACACAGATTCCCCGGCTGGCTTCTGCTTCAAGGAAAAATGCTACTGGGTTGTCAGAAAAGTCATGATGCATTTTTGCAACAAAAAACACAGAAAAAATACATGACTTTTCCGACAACCCAATACAAGCTCCGAAAGCCTCCGGCAACACCTCTATACATGGATGCGTTTGGGAGAACTCCATAGGGAAGATCTGAATCTGTCAGGGCATGGGGAAAGCTCTTCTTTGGAACAAGTGGTGCTGGAGCTGTGGTCAGAAGGATGAGCAGCGTCTAATCCGCAGAGAGAAGGAGGAAGTACGTTGAAGGCGGAGTGGCACCTATGCGAAGGCTATGGCAGAAGAAGGCACCTACAAACACGTGGAAGGCAACAGGGCTAGCAGGCAGAGTGGGTTTTCTCCATTTTTTCTTTTCCTTTCCCCACGAAAAAATAAATCTCCTCCAGCATTTGGCACCATGTCTTGGGCCACCAGGTTTAAGACATGCGCAGAGAGGGGATGAGACTGGTTAAGAAGGAAGTGCTAGACACAAGCCAGGCAGGCCATGGGGGTGCAGGACAAGAGATCCTGTGGTCTGTGCCACCCAAACTTCAGAGGAGGGACCCTCAGGGAGAGGAGGAGGTCTGGCCCTGAGAAAACCAACAATTTGAGAAAACAGCTCTACAGCCTGCCCTGGAAAGCTCAGGAAAGCACTGCTCCAGGGTTCTTTCACCCCCTCTTGCCAGGAGGGCCAACTTCATCTACACATGGCCTCCTTCTAGCACGTAAAAAAAAGTGACCACCTAAAAAAAGTGTACCTCCCCACCTGCCCAAACACACACACTTTCATCTTCTCCAAATGCTCAGTCATGACGAGTTAGGGACTCGGAAAATATCCCAAAGACAGAACAAGTAAATGAGAAAGTGGAATGAGGTCATGGCATATGATACTCTCTCCTGCTCTAACCCAACGGAAGCAGTTCTAATTAAAAATGAACACCCAAACAAAACAGACACCTAGCTTTACAGCCATTGTTAGCAGCTAAAGCGATGAGTTTCAGACTGGCAGTGAGCTTACTTTCCTTGGGGAATTTCATTTACAGAAATATTTTATAGCTACAAAACTTAAACCTAACTGACATTCAGCATTGAGATCTATAACTTATGCCACATCACTGGATGGGGATTTCTTCCCGATTTTTACCCTCTTTATCAGCCTGTGAGGATAAAGAAGTACAGTGCCACTCAGACAACCGAGACAGGTGTTCACAGCTAGTGTTCTTTAGTACATTGCCTTGCTCCAGACTGAACCATAATCTAGAGTTCTATTGTGTTCTCTAATCCTGTTAAATCCAATGTATACGATAAAGCTGCACTAAGGCAGACATCCTCTCCTAGTGTGAGGCAAATTTCTTCTGCGTCTGTTCCCACTCCAATTCAGGCATCTAGGCATCTGTTATTCTCCTCTCAACAAATCAAACATGTCAGATGAGGAAAAACACACTAATTCTACTCTGATAAAACCTGTTTCAGAGCCAGTTTCTCAGGTCAGTTTCTCAGGGCCTCTTCCCAGATGCATGCTGGGCAGAGGTCCCAGGAGCTGGGATTCCCCCACTCTTCCTGGTCTCAGTTCAAGATCTGGAACCCCATTTGCCCCAAGAGCTGAGACAATTTCTCCCCCTCCTTCACTTTGTGTTTGGATTGCCTGAGGTGCCGGACCCAGAATTCTTCTCACTACACCTCCTCCCCTGTCTGTCCCCTCAACACAGACCACACCCTGCGGTCAGGGGCCTTCCGCTTTCCTCAAGAGCCACGGCTGTTCCTCTTGCACAGCTGCATCTTGTAGGCTGGTTTCTGCCCAGGAGTCTGAGCTCAAGAATTCTTGGTGAGGGAAAAGAACAGGGAAGGTGTTATTTAAAGGGACCCAGTGTGCAGGGGAAGGTGGGCAGGGCTGGTGGAGAGAATGGGGAGTCTCAGAGCCTCTCTCTCTCTTTCTCTCTCACTCATCAATTTAGCTGCTAACAATGGTTTTAAAACTAGGTGTCTTTTGTTTGAGTGTTTATTTTAAATTCGAACTGCTTCCATTGGGTTATAGCAGGAGAGAGTCTCATATTGTCAGCTAAGGTAATCTGGCTGTTTAGGAAGTAAAATGATCAAGAACTGCATGGCAATATATCAATTACACCTCAATTTTAAAAATAACATGATTATAGATACTAGAGAACCAACAAAACAGAGAACTGTTAATATGTAAAGGAGCACCAAAGGAGAGTCAGGAGAACTGTGGTCTGGTCCCAAGGTGTCACTGCCAAGTTCAGTGAGTTTACAAATCACTTGTTTCTTCTCTGGGCTTCATCTAGATAATGAAAGAACTGAACTAGATCAACTCCAAGATACCTCTTAATTCTGTAATTATGACTACAAATCATGTTTCAGATTAACTTCACCTCAGTTTGTTATTCAACATGGTCATCTGCTCAATGTTTTAAACACTAAATAGAAAATAATTATTTGAGAAAACTAGTATATTATTGGCTTTTATAAGTCAGAATCATCTGAATTCAGTATGGAAGAGTAGTTTATAAAGTACAAAAAGGATACAAAAAACTATGGTCACAGGATGTGTAGTGTGGGAGTGGAGTCAATGGAATTGTAGTAGATACGTATGTGTGATATGGGGCGGGGGAGTTGGGCGGTGGACTGGGGGAGGGAGGTTGTCACTTTGAGGGGTAAAAAGTATAACTATTGCACTGTGTTGTACACCTGAAACTGATTTAAAAATAAAATAAAAAATAAATAAAATTTTTTAAAAAGGATACAAAAAAACTTTAGTTTATAAAGTACACATAGGAAATAAACAAATTAAAATTTAAGGGCTAAGACTCAGTTCTGTCGCATGGAATTATTTCAACAGCAAATGTGACATGGTATTCCCGGCAGAGTCAACCTGATGCCTAACAGCACATGGTTTTCATAAGCACACAAATCCCAAAGTTATCCACTTCATATAATTTTAATAACACATTCTGGCCAGCATCAATACAAGGATATGACAGATTAATTTTTCTTCTTCAATATCCAAGAAAACAGGTCCTTTGGATTGACTATATTCAGAAAACGATAGTCGGGCTTTGGGAATACCTATCAAGGTCCTTTTAAAAAATAAAAATGACCATAATATTTTTCCTGCAACACTAGTCATAGAAAAATAAACTTTTTAAATATCCTTAAGTATAGGCTCCAGATACTGAACTTACATCCCCATAACCTGTGCCCTCAGACATCCTTATCCCCTGCTTATTTTAGAGTAAGAAATGGGAATGGAATCAATTTCTCCATATTCATAATTTCAGGCAACCAGATAGGTTGGCAACATTTCAGGTGACCTTCTGACCCAGAAAAGGGTATTGTATGTCAGATACTTGAAAGAAAAGGGAAAGAAGGGTAGGGAACATATGGTATTTCAAACATGGTCTGAGTTGATTTGGGTCTGGAAGATATTATGCAGTATTCAGGGTGAGATCATCTGATCATGCTGTTTTCATAACCAATTTCCCTCTGGAGCAAGGAATCATGTGGTTACTAAACAAGCAAATGTTACTAAGACTTCTTTAATCATCTTGGAATGAAGCTGACCAAGGTAGATTACATGAAATATGCATATATATTCCCCCTTTCTCCCCGCATGTGTGTACATACACGCGTCTATTATCTACCTATCATCCATGTATACACACACACATAAATATGTATACACACATATATTCTTATTATACTCTTACAGAGCATTTTAGATCTTGTTCACACAATGAACATTCTGGACAAAGGAACTACATTTCTAAATAAATAAATCTTCTCAGCACATGGCTCTCTTAGAAACCTAGTGCAAACTGTGACATCCCCTCCCATGAATCAATACATTTTGATTAATCTCTGACTCAAGATTTTAAATTGCTCTAATTTTTAGTTCATTGCCTGTTTTCCAATCTCTACCAAGACTTGTAGTACCGAAACAAAGAGGGAGGTTACACAGAAAACCACTTAGATATAAAAACAGAGGCACCCTTCAACTTTTACATAGTTGGCCAACTTTTTGGGGGGAGAATACAATTTATTGCGATTAAGAGCGCCTATTAATCATTTCTAATAAAATTGCTACATGTACTTCTTTGCTTATAAGAACAAAATTCCCCATCTCTCACTTTGTTAAGTCTGAAATACATGAGAGGAAGAATGAAGAAACGCCTAGGGCCCCGAGGCCTCCTTATCCTTGTGTAGCCATGGTTATGTTGCTCTCAGAGTTGCTGGTCTCTCTCTAAAATGGCACTTTGTTCCCTCATCTGCAGTCCATTGCTCACGTTCAATCTTCTGTCATGTCACCCGGGGAACATTCTCTCCTAACTGACTGCTCCCTTTGTGTGATGTCATATTGCTGCTCCCAGTAATAAAACCTAAAGATGATCATAACAGTCCTCTTGTTAGGCTCTTCAACCAGTTCAGTGAACGTCACAAGTCTTAGCAGACAGTGAAGGGCCGTTCATCCTACCCCCCACTCCTCACACACCTGCCTACCATCTCCTCACAACTCCCCTCCCGCCTCCTCACACACCTCCCCTCACCCCCTCACACACTTCCCCTACCCCCCATGCACCTCCCCCAGCACCCCTTCCTTGCACCGCCCCTCTACCCCCTCCTCACATACCTCCCCTACCACCCATCTACTTCTACAGGAGCTCCCCTTTTGCCTGGGTCTCACTCCCCTCTCCTCAGTCTGGCAAAGTCCTACTCTCTGTGGACCCAATTTGAATGTCAATTACTCTGTGATATCTTTCTTCAACTACTGTGAAATGTTTTCCCGAATTCCCATTTGTCTCAGCACAAATTTTATTATTTAACCCTTTTTTACCATGACTGTTTACATATCAGTTTACATCATTAGACTATGAGTTTCTTGTTTATGTTTGAATTCCTAATGCCTGATATTTATAGAAATGACAAAGTTTTATTACTTAATTATCAAATGATCTTTAACACAGCATCTTAACCCTAAGGAATTCCGATTGCTTCTCTCTCTCTCTCTCTCTCTCTCTCTCTCTCTCTCACACACACACACACACACACACACACACACACACACACACACAAGCTCTGGCAGGGATGGTGATGATAATAATATGAGGTTGGTGCAAAAGTAAAGCGGTTTTTGCATTGTTGAAATTTGCCTTTGATATTGAAATACATTCTTAAATAAATGTGGTTATGTTATACATCATTTTAATGCACATTTCTCGCTTTATGTTTTTTTGCTAACGACTTATTACTTGCTATTTATTTTATATGTATTTTAGACTATGGAAATGATTTTAGACACAAAGAAAATTCAAGAGATTTTCTTATTCGAGTTCAAAATTCAAGTAAAGCAGCGAGACAATTCACAACATCGACAACACATCTGACCCATGAACTGCTAACAAAAGTACAGGGCAGTGGTGGTTTAAGAAGTTTTGCAAAGGAGACGAGAGCCTTGAAAATGAGAAGCATAGCGGTCAGCCATTGGAAGTTGACAATGACCAATTGAGAGCAATCATTGAAGCTGATCCTTTTACAACTACACGAGAAGTTGCCAAAGAACTCAACATCGACCATTCTATGTTTGCTCGACATTTGAAGCAAATTGGAAAGGTGAAAAAGCTCGATAAGTGGGTGCCTCATGAGCTGACCTCAAATCAAAAATATTGTCATTTCAACTGGCGATGACCAGCTCAGTGATTGGACCTAGAAGAAGCTCCAAAGCACTTCCCAAAGTCAAACTGGCACCCGAAAAAGGTCACGGTTACTGTTTGGTGACCTGCTGCCGGTCTGATCCACTATAGCTTTCTGAATCCTGGTGAAATCATTACATCTGAGAAGCATGCTCAGCAAATCGATGAGATGCACCGAAAACTGCAATGCCTGCACCTGGCATTGGTTAACAGAAAGGGTCCAATTCTTCTCCATGACAACGCCTGATTACACGTCACACAACCAACGCTTCAAAAGTTGAACGAACTGGGCTACGAAGTTTTCCCTCATCCACCATATTTACCTGACCTCTTGCCAACCAACGACCACTTCTTCAAACATCTCAACAACTTTTTGCAGGGAAAACACTTCCACAACCAGCAGGATGCAGAAAATGCTCTCCAAGAGTTCGTTGAATCCCGAAGCACAGATATTTATGCTACAGGAATAAACAAACTTATTTCTCATTGGCAAAAATGTGTTGATTGTCATGGTTCCTATTTTGATTAATAAAGATGGGTTTGAGCCTAGTTATAATGATTTAAGAGTCACAGTCCAAAACGGCAATTACGTTTGTACCAATCTAATAGCAGCAAATATTCATTTTTCTTGGTTTTTACTTGAGGTATAATTAACATATAACATTATATTAGTTTAAGGTATACAACATGATTTGATATATGTATACATTGTGAAATGATCACAATAAGTTTAGTTAACATCCATCACTTTAAATACAAATTTTGTGTGTATGTGAAGAGAACTTTTAAGATCTACTCTTTCAGCAACTTTCAAATATGCAATACAGCATTATTTATCAGGCACTCATATTGCCAGGCATGGTTCTAAGTTTTTTTTACATGGATCATCACATTTTATCCTCATAACAATTCTATGAGAATGTGAGGTACTGTTAATTATCTCCATTTTCATCCAGATGAAGAAATTGCAGCAGAGCCCTTTGAGCTTGCCCAATGAGACTGCATGGCAGAATACCTGCTCTTAACCAGTGCCTGACCACAGGTCATGAACATGGAAAAGACCCTGGGTTAAACAGATATTTAGTAAATCCGTTTGTTTTTTAAACAGAAGTAGAATTTTTAACTTCAGACCAATGGATTACAGCTCAGGAGTAGAATAATCAACTAAGGGTCTTCAGTTGTCAATACCGCTTATCTAGAAAGCAAACTGGAATGAAACTCTTCATTGCAGGGTCTAGGATTCATTTTCGCATTCTTCAGCTTTTCAGAGCATGAAGTACAAAGCCAGAGCCCTACACAAATCTGTACCATAAAATGAACTGAGTCAAATGGACTGACATCTTTTTGTTCACACACAGTAGTAAAAAAATCACAGAGATTATTCTGCTAGAAAAGAAAAGGAAACAAGTGATCTCTCAGCCTAAATAGTTTATAATAAATTCTACTCTGGGGGTACTGGGTCAGTTTTCCTGGAAGGAATGAAATAGATGACTCCCCCCAACCTGCCCCTCCATTTCTTAAGGCAGTACAGTGACACAGGGACCATCACAAAGACAATCTGTCTGTCCTGTGGTCTAAGATGTAATCAGGTTGTAGCAGACTACCTAAGACATCTATACAACCTCAATAACTATGATAACATATGTGACAAAGATCAGAAGTAGTTCCTGGTGTTTTCTTCTGGGAAACATTAATTTCAGTTTCGGTGGGACACCTTGAAGCATTTCTAATTGTACTTTTTCTTAATGAATACTGCTGGTGATGATGGTGGAGGTGGTAGTAAAAATAACTCCACCACCATATGCTAAGATGTTAGTACCTGCCAGGCACAATACACGCATCATCTCATTTATTTCTCAAAACAACCTATAGGCAAATGCTATCATCCCTATTTCGCAAATAAGGAAACAGACTTGGAGAGATTAAGTAATTTGTGTAAGATTGCCCAGCTAGCAAGTGGCAGAGCTGAGAGTTGAATCTTGGCATTTCTAACTCTAAATCCTGAACTCTTAACTACGAAGGCAGCAAGTTTTTTTCTCCAAAATGAGACTCTGAAGGTAAGTAATAATTTAAATGAGCAATATTCCTCATCTGTAACTTCTCTAGAACAATAATTGGCTTTGATCTGGAAGACTGCCTATTATTCCTCTCTGGACAGGAGCTCCGCCTTGCTAGACAAATCTGAGACTGAGTATAAGGAACCTGAATGTCTGCACACCAGCTGCACTAACATTGAAAGCCATGAGGTGATTAATTCACAACACAGAGGGCCCCTCAAGAGAATGGGGTGTGAGTCAAGGAAAAGCTCCAGGGTCCTGATGCAAAATAGGTCTCTTCCAATATTATAGTAAGAGAAAAACGTTAAAAGAACCCACCAAATACAAATGAACAAATTAAATCTCAGAGCTGAAAAATCTTTATTCAAAATATGTAGACTTATCACTAGTACTGACAATAATCTGCTATACTATATAGAAGATTCCACACATTATTGCAATGGCCAGGGGTAATATAAGGAGGCAAAAACTGAAATATCGTTCTTTTCATTTTTTTTTCAAATCGCTAAATTTCTAGATTTACAATGCAAAATCTGTGTTAGTTACAAATCACCCCAAAACTTGGTGGCTGAAAATAACAAACATTTGTCATCTCACAGTTTCTGAGGGTCAGGCAGCTGAGAGTGGCTTAACTTGGTGGGCTGCTGGCTCAGGGCACCTCTGGCTCAGGGCACCTCGAGAGGTTGTAATCAGGGGTCAGCTAGGGGTGCATCCTCTCAAGGCTCAACTGGCAGGAGCCCTCCTTTTAAGCTCTCACAGGTCATTCTCATGACAAGGCAGCGGGTGCCCCCATGGTAAGAGACCCAGAGAGAGTGCGAGTACCCAAGAGGGAAACCATGGTCTTTAATCTTGGTAGGGACATACCATCATTTCTGCCATGTTATACTCTTTGGCAGCCATTGCACAGGTCCAGCCCACAGTCAAGGGCAGAGGTGTACACGGGGCACGCATTCTAGGAGGTAGGAAACCAATGGGGCCATTTTAGAGCTGCCTACCACTCCTTTT